AGGGCTCATTCTCACTGCTTCACCATTGGAATTGCAGATGCTTTTCCAAACAAGTAAAAAAAGCACAATAAAAAAAACGAAAATAAATTACTATTATTTTTACAGAATAAGCTAGGTATGTGTAAAATCGGAATTAACTCCCGGCCAACGATACTCCCATCTATTCACTGATGTTTTGGCAGAAATGCCTGCCAGCACAAAGGTCTTTCTTTTTCTGTAGGAAAAAAAAAAAACTGAACCGCGTCCGAGAGGAGGCTGTTTAACTCATCCGAAGGTCTTCTAACTCCACAGTAAGACTTTTGGAAATTCCACAACCACAAAGAAAAACTAAAATTGATTCCAAAATCAAAGGGCCATTCTTTTGTTCTAAACAAACACATTTCTCATGGCCACCACAGAATTTTAAGCAGCGGTTTTCTCCCTAAAAATAAAAACTATATCAAAAAGCTGTATGTGACTGTGGACCATAAACAAGAATGCAGATATTAACTGGGTTCAGTGCCTGCTGTTGTCAGTTCAAGCTATCAGACAACTCCTTCAGTCCCTGCTGGAACACAAGAGGGGGTGTTATTTGGCACAGCAAGGACTCTGTGAAAACACAGCCAAGTGTTCTCTTCTGAAAGACTCACACACCTCACTTCGTACACACGTTTGTATTCCAATATTTGTAGGGATTTCCTTTGGCTCTCATGCTATTTGTATTTATAATACTCCTCTCAGACGAAAGTCCACAGAGGGTGGGAGTAGACTCGGAATCACTATTTTGAGAGTTTAACGTTTAAAAGTGGGATTCTTTACAAGAACGTTGTGTCTGCCAGGGGTTTCGATCTCTGGGGGTGGGGGGGGGCAGTTTCTTAGACCACACTGATGATAATACCTGCCCAAAACTGTGAAGATCCTTCAGCACAGAAGCTGTTCCCAGATGTTCTGGAATCGACTCCTAATTTCGATAGGAAAGGCCTGAGAAACACACAGAGTGAGCACTATGGTACACTTTTGCACACTGCATCTGGAGGTGAGATAACTGGGGAAATGCAGAAGCACTGGAGCAAAAACCCAGATTTTCTTCTTTGACAATCTTGTCGACCCATGTCTATCATCAATACAGGTCTAAAAAGTGCAGACCTATTTAAAAAATCTGATTAAGTCTTTCCAGAGACTCTTCAGCTGAAATCAAATTAGCCTTTCTATAATACCACTAGAGCAAAAAAAAAGAAGCCAGTTGCTTGGTGCTAATTAATCTGAAGGGTTTAGTAGTTAACCTGTCGGTAAGCATTTTGCTTTTTCTACACATTATCAGCAGCACAAGACCTTTCATCGTTACTCCCGGAAAGCCATTAAAATGTTCCAGCAATTAACCTCTCTAACTTTTAATTGCAAGAAAACTCCATGTCCAGCTGCACTCGAAGGCAGACCAGCCCCAGGAAATAAAACCCGAAAACTCATCTGCGTTACCATCGGTATCAATGAACTGACAAAGTTGAATACAGGATGTGGACTATGGACAGGTAAAATATCACTCCACAGCACCCACAATCTTGCCTCCATGCTCACCAGCTACCAAGATCCACCAAAAAAAGTAACTATTTTTATCATCCCAAAGCACCTTGTGTGTATGAGAGGATGAGCAGCACCCAGCTGGGTGACATGCAGCAGCCCCACTATGCAGCATATCAGGTGAAGAAGTGAGAAAGGACAATCAAGCCCACTCTGGAAATCGGCAGATTTAGCCAGATGAATGCCCCTAATCTTCCCAACACTGCCATGGGGTGCTCAGTGATCAAGGAGTCTGGAACTTGTTTTAACCTCTCATCTACAGGACGGCACTCATATTGTAGCCAGGTGTCAATTGTCATCACATTTGGGACAGAGGTCTGCAAATTCCGGTCCAGAGGGAACAGAGTCACCTACTGGTGCACAGAAACACATGCACACACACTGGCCTGTATGAGTCACATAGACACATACCATGAAACGACTAACCTTACCAGGGCCCCAGGCCTTCTGCTTCAGTTCCTATAAAATCCCTTCATTTGCATCGTATGTTTGCATGAAACTTGCCTCCTAGCTCCCGCTGGCATACCTGAGCTCCTTCAACAGGGGCGACAGGCACTACACTCTCAAGGGCTGGGCACATGGGAGAACTGAAGGGAATGGGAAAAGCCAAGCTTGGATGCAGCTGCCTGCCCAAAATATTGGGACACAGAGTGGGAGTCCATTAGACCAAACTTTCGGATCACTGGTGATAATTCAAATGTATGGAGATCCAGGAAAGAAGTCTACCAATGGGACTAAAACATAAAAATAATCACCAACCATTGCCATAATAACGGTAGATTATATTTATATTCCATTCACGGCTGTAATATTATGCGTGATACACATTTACCTGAACAGCAGAGCAAAGCAGCTCTCTGGACGTACTCATATTTCACGATCTGCCATTTTACTCCCCAGCCACACGGTCAAGCTCCAAAGTAGCCAACCAGCCAGAGATTGTCAAGGGCACTAGGGTAGAGCAGAATGAGTCACAGGACCAGGCGGAGGTCACAGAACCCAAAAAGATGAAATGAGAGGGCATGAGGAAAGAAGTACACAAACTGATTTCGACAGAAAAGGTCTGGCATCTGTCACAGCTGAACAATAAGGCTATTTAAAAAGAGATATGAAACACGAACAAGGACAGTTCCCGTTCCCATTTTCAAAACTCCGGCAGACACTTCCAAACACTTCTGCTTTCACGACTGACCCCGCACACAGAACTGCACAGTGTGTGAACCCCGCCAGCAGAGACAGGCAGGTCCCCTCCACATTTAGATATTTCCTTCAATCTACTTTCTTTTGGAAAGGTGGTGGGGGGTGGGGGGGTGAAACAGCCTTTCATTTTCAATGTGGCCCTTATCTAATTCACAACAGTCCTTCTTGCAAAACGACAAGTTTAACAAGAATTCCGTGCAACTACGGACTTGTACAAAGAACTTTTCCCATCTTGAATTTGGTCCACTTCCAGGTGA